AAATGTGACGTCATTCAGGGATAAAACCGCAAAGGTTTCTGGGGAACTTGTGGCCGCGAAGCCCAGAGGTGGACTGTCCTAGATGGCGCGCCGCCCGAGGCGCCTCAATTGAACATCGTTTTAACATGGCATTTGCGAAAACCCACAGACAACCACAAGAAGAATTCGGGCAAGTGATAGTGCGTCTGTTTGTACCTGGGTGATTAACTTTTCAATACGGCCGTGGTCGCTCGCCTTTGCCCAGGCTCTTGATGAAACAAGGCCTACGGAGCCGACGGGTAAGGAGAGATTCCGGGGGTGTTTCTGTTAGTTTTTTTTTGGGGTATTTGTGTGTTTAAGTAGTCGTTTTACAGTCGTGTGACAATTGAGCAATTTTTTAGTTTTATGGACATCTGTTTCCTCTTCCGTAAGTAAGAGCCACTGACATCGCGAGCTGGTCTCCTCGGATATACACGCCCAAAGTATTTTGTCTCTTAAACGAACCACTCCAGCCTCCCCACCTTCACTCGTATAGTAGCTGCTGTTCCAGCTATTCTTTCCGCTACACAAAGCTCTTAGCAGTTCTTGTAGCAGTAGTCTTAGCCGTGTCATTTCTTTCTTACAACGATCTCGGGGCTATGTCTAACGGCTAGCTGGTCACGGCCGGGTTATTTGGTGTTGGCGGCTGGGATTTACTCAGAGAGAGTTGTCGCGCTCACCGTGCGTGCTCTCCCTTTATCTTCTACTGTGCAACTAGATTATTAGTGCCTCGAAATTTTGTCCATAGACTTTATTCACATTTACTTGTCCGTTTCGCCGGCTTCTGTATTTGCTCCTAAGGGTATGTAGAAAATGGTACTGCCGATAGCCCACTCCTTCCGCACAAGGCTACTTGCGTCGCGAACTATTCGCCGCAACGCTTTGTGAGGTAACCTCTCGAATCGATATTCTGACAAATCTAGTCCGCTCATTCATTTTTTTATTTTTTTAATTGAAATATTTATTTGACATGCATTTACTTGTCTTATCCTTCTTCTTTGTATCTTGCGTAATCTCAAACTACCTTTCTGGGTCTTCACCTCCGCGTTTTTGCAGTGTTTCACCGCGGGATTTTTTTAATTGAAAAATGACATGCATTTACTGTTTATTTCTTTTGTATGTTGGAATTCAAACTCCGGCCACTGGTTTGCAGTTTTCACCGCCTTTACTATGACGTAAAAACGAGGTCTCGCGATAACTGTAGAAGCGTCTAGTTTGCCAAAAGAACGAAGTAGAACAGTCAGTGGACGTGTGTGATGCTAGCTAACTGATGACTGAAGAGGAGAGGATACAGCCGGCCCCCGCAGCTTTCAAAGCTGATGTGTGGACTTATTTTGGATTTAGGACAAAAGAAGGCAGTAAAGACTATGACAAGAGCTATGCAGTCTGTAAAATCTGCACCGCCAGAGTCAAATATTCCGGTAACACAACAAATTTACGAACACACGTGTCTAGACACCATAGCGACGTAGCGTCAAATGCTAATTTTAAAACGAAACGAGGTGATCCCTCTCAACGGACAATTGAAGAAGTTAACTTTTCGAAACTACCAGCAACTTCAACTCGTGCAACAAAAATAACGCAGTCAGTACTTGTTTTTATTTGCAAAGACATGCGCCCTCTGAGTGTTGTGGAGAATAAAGGATTTCGTAATATGATTAAAACGCTGGAGCCCGTTACACCGTTCCTTCTCGACAACACATCACGGACATCGCTCTGCCAAAGTTGTACCAAGAAGTCAAAGCGACAGTGCTGGACTCTCTCAGCTCGGCTGAGACAGTTGCTCTGACATGCGACGCTTGGACTTCGAGAGCCACTGAATGTACGTCTACTAAGACGCGGTAACCTGCTTATCGTCACGCAGCTTCCAGGAATTCTGACAGCATTCTCCTACAGCGGGCACCCCGTACAACGCCCATGCGTAAGGCACCTTATCAGGCACTCCAATTGGCGGACCAGGTGTTGGATGCCTTATGGTCATGTACACCCCGAGCCCAATTGCATGACAGTCCAACACAGGTGGAGCACCATTTGCATCCGCGTTACTTTTATCACTCGCTCCGGTGTACGTGGGGAGTTACATGCGTTGGACTTGAGAGACTGATGCGAACGTACAACATCATAACGACAAACTTAGCTATAACAAACCGAGCCAGCATGCATCACAGTGGATTGAGTTAACTGACGCTGTGGTAGGGGATACGCAAGGACCTGTGTGTACGATAAGCACCAAACATGGCTCTCGCGGCTAGACTTGCAGGCATGACGCACATACAATGTTTTGCACACAGTCTGAATCTCGCCTCACAGAAAGCACTGAAAATACAATCCGTGGTGCGACTTCTCGGGAGGATCCGACGTGTAACAGCCTTTTTCAGGCGCAGCACCACAGCCAGCAACCAGTTGAAGCAGAAACAGTGCCTCCTTCAGCTACCAGCTCACAGATTGATCACGGACATAATTACAAGATGGAACAGCTCCTATGATATGATAGAACGATTTTTAGAACAGCAACCAGCCATCTGTGCAGCTCTGCTTTCTGCAGAAGTAGGTAACAGGACTTATGCCGTAGTATTCATTTGATGACTATCTGGCAGATCAATTAAGTGAGTCTAATACATGTGCAGAAGAAGTTGTCAGGGCACTCAAGCCTATGAAGGAGCCACCCTGGTGATGTCAGAGGAGAGTATGCCAACCCTGTCCATCATTGCTCCTCTTCATGCCAAGCTTGTGATGGGTGCACAAGAAAGTGTTGATGATACACCGACAGTAAGGGACATTAAGACTGCCATAGCAGAAGATCTGGGAAAGAGATATGTAAATGAGAGGGAGACACTATGGATGGCATCAACTGTTGATCCTCGGTTTAAGGACCTGCCCTTCCTGTCTGAAGCAGAGACCAGTGAGACCTATTCCAGACTGTTGGACACTGTGGTGACTGTGATAAAGAAGGAAGAAAATGTAAGTAAATAAATTAATTTATTTGGAAAAATTCAACTGAAGTTATAAGCAAGTGAATAAAGTAAAAAAAAAAAAAAAATGCATATTGATGACATTTGTCATCAAATATTAGTGAAAAACAGGGTGAATCTTGGATTTGAATTTTGACTTTCTGACATTAATACTATTTGAATTTAATGTTTTTCAGCAGCAAAAGAATGAGGAGACTGACAAACAGGTGGAGGAAGAGAATGCCACAGAGGAGGCTCATCACCCACATATCAAAGACAACTTTGACTCCATCCCTCGGCCACCCCTAAAAAGACAGAGGACCTCATGTGCATTGGTGGACTTGCTCGGAGCTACGTTTGCCTCTACTAGTGACAATACTGCACCAAAATTCAGAACATGATGTTGCTCATTCCGCTTCCTGGGTACCACCATCACTCAGGACCTGAAGTGGGAGCCCACCATCACCTCCGTCATCAAGAAAGCCCAGCAGAGGATGTCCGTCAGCATCAGAAAGTGCAGTTCCAGGCCCAGGCTTCGAGGAGGTAAACTTCCTGAGCTAAGCTGATACCACCGGAAATTCAGACCCCTAGAACAACACTACGTGCAGCAACCCGATGCGATCATCCGCATTAATTCTACAACCGTCCCTTGTCTCCCCATAACCCTGTCCTTCTCTCTAGCAATCTCGACCTTGTCCATTCCTCACCGGCTATTCCTTCCTCTATAGTGTACACATTCTGGGGGTGTGGCTGCGTAATTACAGTGCGTAGAGGCCGAACCACTAATCTAGTGGTTGTCTCAAGTGGCCGACTCAAACAATGGAGCCCTCAAGCCACTGGCGATTTGCTTGTTCCTGTGCTTTTCTTTCTTTGTCTGAGGAAGCGTGTTTTTGGCTACGTATAGACTCCCATCTCTGCCTGTGACCTTCCGTACATGCGCCTCCAAGCCAGCCCTGCTGGCAGGCTCCGCGTCAAGTGGTTCTATTAGCGCTTACGATCTCAGTTCTGACCTACCTCTTCAACACCCTAGGCCGAATTACATCTGTTTTAACCTGTGCTTCGTTCAGCCCTTTCTAGGCTCAGAGCACTCCCCGGTTCCATTACCCTTTCCCTCGGCGCTACCAGAACCTCTCTCGACCTATCATTGGCTTCCCGTTCATTGAAACATTGTTTCTTCCCTCATGCTGTTGGACACATGAACAATTATCACCGCATCCCATTCCCGGTTCTGTGACCTCCCCCACCTACGTCGCCTAGTCCCATGCCCGACCTTATTAATCCTGCCTTCATAAGATTACCTCTCTGTTACACTGCCCTGTGTACCTAAACTGCCATCGTATTTCCCTCTGCCATGTTTTTAGTCACTTTTTTTTCCCGATACGCTAATATACAACAACAACAACAACCTAATCTTTATTCTATGGAGTCCACTTTTCCCGTTTAAAAGCCGGGCCTCTGGCTCAATGTCCCAAATTGTTGCTTTACATAAAACATACTAAGGGCAAGATTATGATTTGGACCCTATACCACGAGTCATCAGTTCCTCAATCTTTATCCTGGTGGGCCGGTCTCTAGTCAAAATGCCCGGGCCGATTTTTTGTCCCAGTCCAGCCTTGCACAGATTATCATTTCTTACAGTAGACAGTTGTATTCCCATTTTCTTTTAAACACAATAAAAGTTTTTGTTTTGTAAACATGGTTTTATTTCTGTTCTTAATGATCAGGCTAAGGATGCAAAAAATACTACAACTAAAGACAAATGCCTTAAGTCTGTGATTTATAGGTACCTTTTCATATTTTGATGTATTGTAAAATCTAAAGAACCACGTTTTTGGCATTTCTGCCTATTAAACATGAATCAGGACACAGATGCAGAGTTCACTCACTTTATATTTAACAAAAAGAGGAAAAAAAAACAGCATTTGATGAGTTACAACAGCTTATGGTGGCAGCTGGATGGGCTGTACAGGTCCATCTGGTTTACAGGTAAAGCAGTCATCGTATAAAAAACAAAACAAAACAAAAAAAAAAATGTACAGTTAGTGGAAATTAAACGAACATGACGAACCAAATGTTGGTCGTCTCCATGAAGCACCACAAGATCAAAACAGATCCCGACAGTTTTCCTGTCGACCCGCCAATAAACTAACAAAAGTGCTTTTAATGGGTTTTTTTTAAAACACCTTTTTACATTTCTACTTCCTGGAACCATTTTCATCCACATTCCTCGCAATCTGCACAGAAACGTCCCTGGATCTGCAAAGCCTGACGGTAGTCAGAAGGGACGTTTTCTTGGTAAATTTCTCCCAAATACAACAAACAAACTAGAGCTGCTATATCTCTTTAAACCCAGATTTATCCAAATAATTTTATTTACCAAGTGGAATTCCATGTAATATTTATCAGGACAAATGACTCATCCAATCAGTAAACTCATCATTTATTCCCTCAAATGTTTCTTTTGTACCTTTTAAATCCTTAAACCTGCCATCATATGAAAAAGTTTTGACTCCAATTTCAGTCAAGCTTGTAGATTTAGTAATTCTTAACAGTATTTTCTTCACATTTGACTTCCCAGATCACAGACTTGACACAACAAAGACTTTAATAAGCTCAAACTCTTCATGGAAGCAAATGCCGATCAGAGGAGAACACAGAGGACCGAGCCGTTGCAGATTATCGAATCAAGGGTTCATGCTATGAGTTCTTGATTCGTGTCAGTCATCTTTTCTTTATCTGTCTTCACACAGTGTAAGTCAGCTACAATAGTTTGTACAGAAAAAAGTTTGATAAAGCTCAGAGAGCAAATGAGAACTTCTCCCAGAGCAGATCATTGTAACTAAAGAACAAAGAAGCTCTCGTACAGATGTGGACACATATCGAGATTGTTGAGGGGGAGTGGGCTGCTAAAAATACTAGGATAGGACAAAACCGGAGTGTAACAGTTTCTTAAAAGAAACTGCTGCTCTTTAAAGATAACAACAAACAGGCAAAGGGGCCTCAAAACCCAGAGGGGGAAGAAAAAAAATCTGAGACTAAAGTACTGTACTGGGTAATGTTATCGCATTGATGAGAATATAATCTGCCCCCGCCAATGCTAATATGCAGATGATGTGATTATATTCATTTATCAAGTTCCTTAAACCCAGAAAAGCTGCTTTTGTCTGTGGCAGCTAAGCATCTGTACAAATATCTTAAACATAAAACATATTGCAGGGGTGTTTATTAGGAGGAAAACAGTTCTCACAGATTAATATATTGAGAAGTCATTAAACTGTAACATGTCTCTGAACTTCACTGGCTCCGTAGACGTTTGACCCCAGAATATCTTTCTACTTTCTACTGTCTTCAGATCATAAAGACAGTTTCTAGACAATCCAGTGATGAAATGAGAAAACTTCAGCGGAAATATGAAATTCAGCTAGTCTCAACAGGACGCGTCAGAATAAAATCACTTTATCGCTACATGATACGAATTTTATCAGTGACTGAAAATTTGCCCTCAGTTTCAGACTCCTGAATCTCAAAGTCCTGGCTTTATCTTTTTTTTTTTTTTTAATACAAACTCCAAGATGAAATACTTTTTTGTTTTTGTTTTAATGAATAAAGGATGGGGGGGGGGGAGACAACAAAACGATTATCAAGCAAAAAAAAGTATCAAGACGAACTGAAGTTTCTGCTTGCCAGTGGTTTGGGGTTCTGATTAAAATGTTAAAATGTCACGTTTTCACTTGCACCCTGTATTTGGATTCTGACAACAATAAGGTGAATAAAAAGCCAGAAAAATGTCTTAAAGACAGACATTAAGAAAAATAAAAAATGTGTAGAACATCAGATTGTCTTCGAATTCATGCTGGTGTTATTCATCTCCTACAAAAGCAGGAAGGGAAACGAAACTTCTCTGACGATTCATGAAAAAAAGATTGAAGTTCACTCAGAGCGTAAAGACACAAATAGACTAACAGACGTGAGCGTCTCATGTTTCTCCTCTGGTCCCAACATCTGCCTCCACGTTGTTTGACAGAGAAGAGAGAAAAAAAAAAAAGATTTGGCACAACAGTCCTTCAAACATCAGAGCAACTTTAAACAGACAAGAAAACCTGGATATGTTCTTCGACTGGACTGATGGGAGATTGTCACCGTAAGTTTGGAGTGATTTTCTGTAGAAAAATATAATGAGGCAATATAAAAAAAAGACGGAATGAAAAGTACTGCAAGAATTCAATGGATTTACAATGATTTACTATATAGCTTATAAATACGTTATCTACACAATATGTGGTACAAAAATACTATATAGCATTTAGTGGGCACTGGATTTCATTTGTGTGTTTTTCCTCAAAGTAACAACAACATAAAAAAAAGAAGGATATGAAGCTGGTCAGGCACAACATCGTGTTCTTGAAGGGGAACGCTGCTTCCACCCGTGAGGAAAAAAAAACAACAAAAAAAAAACCAAAAGAGAAGTGGAAACTGAAGAGCGCCTCCTGCGTCCACTGTGCAGCGTTGGCTCGCTTCAGTTGCAGTCGGGCATGAGAACGTTTCGATGAGAACATAAAACACAAGCGTACGTTTTGGTTTAAATCCTGTCTGAACATCAACAGAGAGGTTTGAGGATGTGAGTCATGCTGCCTCAATGCGTTTGTGCCGTGTCTACAGAGGCTCCGGAGAGACACGAGCGCACATGTGAAAATGAGAAGGAAAAGAAAAAAAAAAGATTCTTTTTTTTTTTTGTCAAGCACTGCGTGGAGGTCAGTGTGAGCACGACGGGTGCCAGTGGAAGTTTGTTATAAGTAAAATGTAACAGGGGCTCACACCTGTAGTTTATAATGCACTGCATGTAGGTTAATGGTGCAGTACCAAGCAGTTTGCAGTGAGAGCCGTGGAGCTGAAATTTGCTGAATATAATATGCAGACCTTACACAAAGTTTGCAGAGTGCAAAATATAGCAGGTATTGCGCTGCAGGTAGTTAAACATATGTGTCCATGTAGTTTGTGGAGGGCAAATATGAAGCTGCAGTAACTCACAAGGACATCCAAGTCAAATCCTTGTCATGACTGTAGTTTTCCCATTGACGCTTGTATTTGGCCTCATGCAGTACTTTGCAGCGCATTAGTTTGTGCCAAAACTCTCTGCAGTGTTTGACACTTAAAAAAAAAAAAAGTTCCTTGTGACAAACAGAAACAAACAAAACCAACAAACAAAACAGAACAGTAAAAAAAAAAAAAATCCACGCTCGTGTCATCTCTGGGGCTCTCAGAGACTGGACCACAGTTGTTTGAACCCCTGCAGCGTCGTCGATACTCAGTGGCTTCTGGTTTGATTTATTGGTAAATATGTGCCTTATTGCTCAGACCGAGTGTCCTGGATTCGCGATCCAGCACATGACTCACACCCACACAGACGAACCGTTCAGTAAAAGAAGGAGAGGTAAGTTCAAATCAAAGACCCAGTACCACATTCTCTCCAGCCGCTCCTCATCCAGTTTACATGGTAACTACAGAGCAGCGCGGCGATGGGAGGAGCCTCCGGGCAGAGCTCTTCTTGTCCCTGTAGCTGTCGATGTTTTTTATATTTGGCATCATAAGTTAAACGTCCCATTGATTTGTGTGCTTTGTGTCCTTCAGCCTCTTTTCTCCTGGTTTAAGGCAACTTATATTTGTGATGATTTTAATAAAACCTTTTCATAAAAAATGTACAAATTTCTTAATACAAACCTCTATGGCATTATCAGTAAACACTGTATAGAAAATATATAAATATGCTTTTCTCTTTTCAATGTACAAATGTTCTGTAGCTCCCGGTTCACTTTTCCCTTTTTCGTCCTGCATCTCACTCCTCCTGTTACATCAGTCTCTCTTTCCCGTTTTTTACCTCATATATGCACAATTGCTATTTACAGTGAGGGGGTGGAGCTGTGAGGAGGGGGTGGGGGATCACAGGGGATTTGGCTCACGAGGAGTCCGTGCAGGGCGACGGTGGCGGCGGATAGAGGTGATGGGAGTAGCTGCGCTCGGTGTAAGGCGACGGCGGGCAGCTCTCACAGTTCTCCTCCGCAGACAGGTACTGGCTGCGGGGCGTCGGCGGTGGCGGGAAAGGCTCTGAGTCGTAGTTGAGGTCGCTGGTGTAGCCCTTGGCGGTGGCGCTGGACTTGAGCGGCGCTCGGCGTCCCGGAGTGTAGTCGCTGTCGCACACGTCGGTACTGCAGGGGGTGGTGGGAGGGGCAAAGTGGCGGTAGGTGTAGGGCCGGTAGCTGAAAAAGAGAAACGGCAGAGTGAGAACAAAAAACATTTTCTTTTTTCTGCTTCTTTCTCTTGGTGTAGAGAGGTCAAAGGTCACATGTGTTTTACATGCTTGAAAAGCAGAGCAACAGCTCCAACTTGTGGAGAAAGAGTCAAATGCCCCCATGAGGCATTCAAGAAGGACGGAACTTCAGAGACGAGACGCAGACTGAGCTGTTGGGCCACAATGACAAGGTGTGTTTGAAGGAGTGAAGAACATTGGACCAACGGTCAAGCATAGCGGCAGTTCTGGAAATCATGAAGGAGGCCAACACCTCCACCTTTTGTGTACTGTGCTTAAAAGACGGGCCTGGAAACCAACCAATCTACCAAGAATTGTTGCTGAATATCAGCCAGAATTATGCCAAATGCTTGTTAATGGCCACCAAATGCACCTGATTAAATGTTAAAATTTGCACCTGAACCAAATATTTGGGAGGGGTATACACCTATAGCTGAGCCTGTGTGAATTAGAGAAAAACAAAAATAGATTTAAAATGGTAAATGGCCTGTATTTATATAGCGCTTTACTAGTCCCTAAGGACCCCAAAGCGCTTTACATATCCACCCATTCACACACACATTCACACACTGGTGATGGCAAGCTACATTGTAGCCACAGCCACCCTGGGGCGCACTGACAGAGGCGAGACTGCCGGACACTGGCGCCACCGGGCCCTCTGACCACCACCAGTAGGCAACGGGTGAAGTGTCTTGCCCAAGGACACAACGACCGAGACTGTCCAAGCCGGGGCTCGAACCGGCAACCTTCCGATTACAAGGCGAACTCCCAACTCTTGAGCCACGATCGCCCCATGTCCTCAAAGGTTTATGCTGTGCAATCATTCTACTGGGGAGAAAGAGCTCCATGAAGTCATTAATGCCTCTTTACTTTATATGAATTCTTAACTTGAAGATGTCTGACTCTGTTCATCTTCTGAATTATTGTGGCAACAAAGCAAACTGACAAAGTCACTTCTAGGATGTTTGTAACTGATTAAACTTCTAATGAAAAGCCAACATTCAATCATAATTTAGTTTTGCAACACTAAGAGGAAAGTCAGGTTGGGACTGACTATAAGGTATAAGTTTCTGTTAGCTGCTGCAGTCCATAAGAATCTGCTTGTTCAGTTGGATTTAAGAGGAAAATGGAAAAATGGTTTCACAATTTAGTTTCTTTGTGGCTCTGACCTGACAAACATTTAAAGCTGCTACTAAAATTTACTGTCATTATCAATTTGGTTTGTGGCCCAAAAACAAAACAAATATTTACAGCAGGCTGAGAAAAAGTAGCAGACGCAGCTTCTTTCCACAAGAATCTAAATGTCCTCCTACATTAACACACACTCGGTCTCACGTGAAAAAATTGACAAAAAAAAAAAAAAAAAAAAAAAAAAAAAGAGGCCGAGGGTCCCTGAAGGCATCTCCGAGGGGTAAACATTCACATGTGTGGCAGGAATTCTGATTACATTTCCAAACCAGCTCCATTACTCTGGAATCCTCTGAATACACAACCAGAGCACTTCAGGGATTTCAGGAATTCACTGCAGCAGACACTGTTTGGAAGTTCCTGACAGACAGAAGCATACAGACCTGTAGGATCTGTGCGTGGAGGGGCTGTTGGAGGAGTAGCCGAACTCCACTGTGTATTGGGAGCGGACCGTGGCAGGAGACGGAGGAGGGTTCAGGATCTGCGAACCAAAAAAATAAGAGAAATTTACCAATTTGACCCAGGACCAGAGAGTCCACAAGGAGAGAGGCTTAACGTGCAGTGTTAAAAAGAGAAAGCTCAAATAACTCAGACACTGTACTGTTAGCTGCTTTTTAAATCAGCATGAATCCAAATCTACATTCAGCTCAAACCGAAAACAAAAAAACCCCAAAACAAATAACTTAATAACTTCACCGTTTCATTCTTTAACAAAACCTAAAACAAAGAGTTGTTCCTCAGACAAATAGTGGGGGGCCGCGTTTGCTAGTTTAGGCTAATTTACAGCACAGTCACGTTTCCAATCAATCAATGGATCCAGCTAAGGACAGCAGGTAGAGTCTTATAGAAGGAAGTGGGGAGAGTAAGCGTGTGTTTGTCTCTCACCGGTGGGAAGTACGTTCCCTTTGTGCTGGATGAGCTGCTGGATGAAGCCCCGGTGACGTGAGCGCGATCATAGGGCGGGCCGCTGCTCCCACCCATGATACTGAGGGAGCCAATCACAGACTTCCCCCTGGACATACCTGTCGATGGGTTTATACACAAAAATCAGCAGCTATTTATTAAATAAAACATGAATTTCAGATTTTCGGTCAGTTTGAGAAGAGCAGCGGGGAAAATTTGCCATGTGTGACCCAGGATGACATCATCACCTGGCAGCGAGCTGGACAGTGAGCTCGGATGCGGCACGTATCCCAGCGGCACAGATGACGGCCCGTGAACCACGAAGTCGTTGGTGACCGTTTCGCCGTCGTCCTTCATCTGAGGACAGAGGACCCTCTGACACACAAAGTAGATGGCGCCCACCACAAACAATGCCATGACCACGGCCACGATGGAGCCGATGGTGTTGTGAGGAGGCGGCGGTGGCTCCTCAGTTGGATCTGAAATCACAGAAGATTTTTTTATTTTTATTTTATATGGAAATATAAGTTCTAGTTATTATTTTACTAATATAAGATGGAGACAAAGAACTGATTCAGCTTTGGTGTCTCACACACACACACACACACACACACACACACACACACACACACACACACACACAC